TGGGGCTGTGAGCTCACAAGTGGAATGTTCTCAGCTGGGTGGATCTTTGCTGTCACTTGACCTCACTGAGTTTACCCTCAGCTGGTTGATTCCACACTGGCTGGCCCCACTCTGTTGTAGGCAAACTGAAGACTGTGGGCAAGGCTGTGTGAGTGGGTCTCTGCCGCTGTGGGTCTGTGCACTCAGAGGACGGACTGAATTGACCCCTTCCTGAGCTGGGGAGCTCTCGGGGTGTCCTCTGATTCATGGCCCATGGCCTCGGGGACGGTGAGATGGGCCTATAGGACCCTGCGGAAGCTGAGCTGTGTGAGGACCCTGGGGGATGCCCGGCCATGGGGTTCAGGTCATCATAATTAAACTGGATCTCTTTTCAAAACGTTTTCCACTTTATCTGGAGCCAGGGCGCCATTTTCCAGGAGGTAGAATTAACGTTTCCAGTTTGGGACAGTTAAACGTGTGAGCGGAATGGGAGCCCCAGAGCTGCTGCCCACCTATGGCTAGCACTTCCCCACCTACAGCCAGATGCACATCAGGCACGGACTGGTCAGACTGGTCAGACCTGCTGCCACAGCCCTCTCCGCATTTATAAAACATCGGGGGAGGAGAGGACTGGATAAGGGTTAAGGAGAAGGGCAGAGAGTTATAATCGAGGGCTGGGGTCACATGATACGATAGCTCAGCTGAGGACCTCTGGCAATTTTAAGAAATGGATTTAAAAAAAAGAAAGAAATTAATTTACTGTTTTTTTTAAATAAACTCTCTGAAGGAAGACATGACAATCAATGACACTGACACAAAAGGCAGGAGACTCGGTGTGGAAGAAGGCCATGCGGGGACCTTGCCATCTCCTCGTGCTCCACTGTCAGGCCGCAGACAGTGACGCTGCGGTGACCATCGCCCAGGCAGGTGGACACCTCTGCGTCTCCCGGCCACAGTCCTATTGCAGGAAGTACAGACCAGCTCCGCTGAGAGCAGCTGCCTCCTGACTTTGTTCTTTCAGTGTTTGCAGCCCCCTGAGGGCAGGAGCCGGCCTGTCTCTGATCCCCTGGTTCCTAGCACGGGCCCAGACTCACTAGGTGTCAGGGGTGATGACCTGAAGGTCACCTTTGCTAATCTGGTAACACTTGCACCAGATAAACCTCTCGACTTGCACAGCAGTAAATCCTCAACAGCAGTACTTTGCTTATTGGCTTGGATATGGTACACGTCAGAATGCTTGGTAAAATGATTTCCTGCTATCTTAGTTTCTGAAAATCCACACCCGTCACAGTGGTTTTATTTTGCTACCTTCCATTCACATTTAGCAGAACTGCACCAACATTCAACTTAATAACTGGCATGGAGCTATTATTCTAACTCAGTAAGTGAGCTACTACATGGAACTAACGGGTTAAAGCCCCTAAAACTTAAAACAGTTCCTGAGGACATGTCCCACAATCGGGAGGCTGTAAGGTCTGGAGGGAACTTCCTAGACTCACTGTGGCCACCCTCAGATCCCCGAGGCCCAGCACCCGTCTAGCTGGTAGAGTCCTGCCCTCTATCCCCTCTCTTCACAAAGCCCTTCCTTCACCAATTCTCAGGAGCGCGGGAGCTGGCTGGGAGTTGGGGTGGGGTGCACAAGGGTGCCTGTGAACAGGGGACGCAGAATACGGCAAACGCTCCTGTTGAAAGTCTCCCCTGCTCTGCCCTCTCCCGCCCCACGTTGTGTCCCTTCCAGTCCTCATGAGGCCACGAGGAGGTTGGTCACCGACCTCCCTGCGGGAAACTTGGGGGTGGGGGCTCTGCCAGGGTTGTGTGGACTCCGGCCTCGTGCCAGCTCCTGGCCACCACGTTCGGCCTGGGAGGTGTCCCGTGCATCCTCAAGTCAAAGCCACACCTCCCCGAACTGGGCCTGTGCCCGGCCAGCTCCTTCTCCTGAGACTTCACTCACTCTGCTCCAGCCGCCAGACCACAGACGATGAAGCAGCATAATCTGGTCCTTAAGGGACACTGTCGGCCTCTGGGGAAGGGTGACCTGCTGGGTTTACCTTTGCTGGGCTGCTTACTGGCACTGAGATTCTACCCTCTGCCATCCTCAGTATCTTCAGAACTGGGGGTCCTTCTCCATTCACTTCCAAACTCATTTTTGCCTACTCGGCACCCACGTTCAAAACTGCTAACCGGCATCCCCAACGCAGCTGCCGAGGCGCAGGTTTCCCCACTCACAGCGAAGGCCAGGAAACCCGCTCCGCCCTCTGATGGGCGAGCTGCTCTGCCAAGGCAGCAGGTACCCTCCCGAAGCACAGAGGGGTCGCCCTCTTCAGCCGCACCTGCCCCTGCCTCACCTGAAACCCCGGTGAGGGTTTGAATACTTCCTCGCCAAAAGGTGACTTTAGGCTGCCATGGGGATGAAAGACGCTTAGTAAAACCTTGTCCCCTGTCCCCCGCCCTGCCACCTCTGCCCTCCTGGAACCTCCTCCTGTCCCTGGACCCCTGGGGAGTGATGCTGCCCCTCCTTCTCTGCCGCTCCTCTTCTGAAGCCCAGGCACCCTTTCTCACCCTGTCTCCTCGTCCGCCTCCAGCAGGGCTTCTCGCCTCCTTCATTGCCCCACAACTGTCTTGTATTTCTGGAGTACACTAGGGGTCCCACCTTGGCCAGGAGGGCGCCCGTTCATGGAGTCCAGTGGTTGCACAAGGGAAGCACCTGGATGGCTTCTAAAACCCTTGTGGCTTAAGCTTTACCCTAGGAAGCAATTAAGTAGCCTGCGGGGGAGGTGGGGCCGGGGGGAGGGGAGAAGGCGAGCAACTCCGTTTTCAGAAGCACATCAGGTGGTTCTGATTTGCAGCCACAGTTCCTGATTCATGGCCTACTCTATTTCACTCTGATATTATAGAGAAAAATCTGTGTATAAGGCAGTGCTTTCCAAATTATTTTACCCAGTCCTCTGGGACAAGTGATAACCCCACACACCAGCTCCACGGGCCAGTTTTAGAACACGCCCAGCACTGTGCAAGTTCCTTCTGGCCGGTCTCCGTCGGGACCACGCGCACTCCGCCAGCCGCCTAAACCCATCCTGCTGTGGCGGAGTTGTCCCCATGATGTCCCCATGACATTTCTGACTGGTTTGCTGCTCACCCCAACTGGGACCACAGTCTCAGATCAGCAAAGCTGCAGGTTTTTCCATTCACTTCCTATGGGGTTCACCACCTTCTGCTGAAAAAGCCCTGGATTTTTGCCTCCCACCCCAAAGTAGTCAGTCCTCTAGTGGCAGAGCTGCTGGTCCCAGCAGTGGCACCCCGCCTCCCCCAGCCAGGAACAAAGAGCACCTCCAGGCCACGAGTTCTCTCCTGCTGGCCTGATCCAAAGAGCACGTTTTCAAGAATAAATGCGTCTCAACTTGTTGTCCGACTCAAGTCAATTTCCAGAGCCTGAACAATTTTGTTCAACTCTGCCCTTGTTTTCCATTGGAGAAGATGTGCCGCCCCCCTCCCAGCTGGCTGTCCTGCACATAATCAGTTATAAAGTGAGGTGTGTACAGGGTTCTGCCCCCGTGCCGTCTGCACCTCTGGTCTCAGAATGACTCTGAGAGCCATGGCTTTTGTTCAATCCTTGAGCATAATGGAAAGAAAGGAAGAAAATCAAGAAGGAAAGGAAAACTATGTTCATTGCACTTAGAAAGGTACTAAGGCAGACTCCTGTGGGTCAGCAATACTAAAGGGATTTTTATATCTCATAACTTTCAATTCTGCTCATAATCCAAAAGCAACTTGGCCTGAGCCAAAAATACAGAAATAGTTGAGAAACTTCTATAGCACTTTGACCTTCCTCTGACTCCCGAGCATGTGGTGGGGGGACCAGCTCCCCGGGCCAGGTACTGTCGACCCTGCAGAGTGGTCTTTTGTGGCACCAGCTGCATGCTCACCTCCCAGAGCAGAACCATGTTGCAGCGGGGATAGTTAGGGTTAGTCTAGCTGCCTCTAGTCTCAGGAGGGGACATTCAGTCTGAGGCTGGTGTCAAGACAGTCTTCCTGCAACCGTGGTGTGGCTGGCACAGCTCTCCACGGCCACGGGCTCCTGCGAGTGGCTCTGAAGAGTGGCTTAGGGAGGTGCACAGCAGCCTGGCTCTGGCCATACCTGGCTCGGCCTCCTTGGCTGCCGGGCCCTGGAAGGCACCACCAGAATCTCACCTGGACCCCGAGGGACTGGGATCTGCCCCAAGAACAGACAAGAGAATGCTGGCAGAAAAGGGCTCCTTGAGCGTGGGAAGGATTTTGAACTCAACAATCCAGATTTGACTTTCAAAGCAGAGGCTATGGGATGGATTCTGCCTTGTACTCAGAAAAACGACTGTAGACAGAAACATGGGGTCAGCACAGAAGCTGCAGCTTCTGTCCAGGGCACACCCAGATTTGGGGACTAACCATCAACCTGACGGGAGGTGGTTTATGAACGTCACGAGCCTTGGTCTAAGGACTGAGCAAGTCACTTAACCGCTTGAGAGAAATGAGAATAACAGTGACGTCCCCTCCCGAGGGTGGTTAATTGGAATGGAGCCCAGAGAGGCCCTGTGTGTGGGGCTGGAGTCGCTCAACAGAAGAGGCCTTTCAATGTGAACTCCCACGGAGACCACGCTGTGCGGGGAACACAGGAATCTTTCCTACTGCCCTCTTACGTTACTGACAGACCTAGGTTTCATTTCACCCAGCTCAAAACCCAGGCCAAGACGGAAAACGTGGAAATAAAGTTCAGGGACAGATTCCCGAAGCTGCCCTGCAGGACCCTATACCTGTGCATAAAGCCCCCCAAGTAAATCAACCTCCCCGCGCTCTCAGATGCCCCCCTCAGGTGCCCCTCCCTCTCAGATGCCCCTCCCTCTCAGATGCCCCCCCTTCTCAGATGCCCCGCCCCCTCAGATGCCCTGGCTGGCTGACGGTTGCTGCATTTGTATTTCTGAAGGAAACGAAGTCTCTCCACATTTGAATTACAATTTCCCAAAAGCAGGAACTTCGATGTTCTTGTATAGGATGAACAAAACTTCAGACACAGCAAATTTTATTATCATACCAGGTCTGTTATCAGAACTTGGGCACGTCCGCTTCCGCCCCAAACACTGCTCTGCACTGACAACAGACAGACAGCAGGTGACAATACCCAGTCACACAAGTGGCCAGTGCGCTTTATTTGATTTCCGTCCTGCTGCCACGGGAGCCGGCACACGCCGGGCGAGGGTCCCAGTTGGTCTCCACGGAGGAAGGTCAGGGGCACGGGGGCCTGATGTCCGGGGGTTCCACGCGGGCCGGGGCAGGAGCTTGAGGGCGCC